TAGAATACTACCTTGCTTGCAAAATAGACAGTGTTTTTCATCTTTCAAGTGAGCAGCCATAGATACTTCAGTGCGTGGTTCTTGGTTTGAACGGACGATCACCTGATAAATCACATAATCATGCGGTGGTGGTTGCTGTCATCAAAAATGGCTGTCCCCGAATCAGTCGGTTAGGCAATTAGTAGCTGTTTCGCCTTCCTTTCAGAAAGCATTCGCAAGACCGTGCAAAACTACCGCACCTGTAAGTTCTCAAGCTTAAGGAGCAGAGACTATGCATTAAAGCTCTCATGGATATCTGTACTCCGGACGCGTGAGCCCAGCGATTCGTCGCTTAAAAACCCATTTCAGCCACTTGTACTAGGATTCGAAGTTTTCAGTCATGACCCATGATTCATAACCGTATCGGGATAGAATCGCTTTGAACACTGAGAGCTTATTTTTCAGACTCAGCTCTGCTTTAGTCAAAAGGTTCGGGCCAATTCACGCAAAATGCCGTTGGCTACTCTAATTCGCTGCTCGATCTCTCTAAAAGTTTCCATCACCAGTAAACTTGATCCATAGATACTTGAACTTCTCCACCTGCTCTACTGCATTTGCTTGCAGGACGCAAAGGACAGGAGAACGAGAAAGCACGAGATTTCCTTTACGGCCCTTTCACCTCATTCAATGCACTTTCTGCTTTCTCGAGGTAGGACTCATTTTTCCTCCGAATTTTGCGCATACACCTGTAACAAGGTCAAAGCTTTAGCCTGTTGTAACTTCAGCAGGATGATTGCCACTCATCCCCTGACTTGCTTCGATTCAGTTGTTCTGTCATCTAAGTTGGGTTCTACCAGAACACCAACACCGCAGTGGGCGGTTGTCGTGATGGCGACACTGGAGTAGAATAGCTTCAATCTCCACCCTCCACCAGAAGTTCAGAATCCCATATCTCAGGCACTTCGTTGACGAACGTCCAACTGTGTCTAGTGGGTACCTTACGGTCTCGTCATCTAGCACCTGCTCTTTCTTTGTGACTGAAGAGGTGTTGTAATTTCTGATTGTGAGCTCCCACTGTCGATATCGTTTCCGTCGAACCATATTTGACATTCTGTAATGGCATTGCACTGCCTACCTCATCTCTTCAGAACAAGCAGCTCCTCCACTAGTGATTGGCTTCGTTTTCTTGTCGATCTTCGGCAACCGTCGCCATGCTGCCACGCTTGCAGCTGCCAGAAGGCAAGAAACAGGTTCTGATAACTGATTTTTTCAGCCTGTCTCACTTCTCCAACAGCCTGCTCAGCCCTGAGTAACTGAGACAAAGACCAAGATCGTGTAAAGTTTGATAACGGTAAAATCAATAGACGCAGCTGGCTAAGTTCTTTTTTGGTAGACCTCTCCATGGTCCCGAGCCTTCTTCCTTTTTCATCCGGACAACGGCGGAAGGCAACAACACCCGTCTCGATTTATAATGAGCATTAAACACTAGTATATGCGACAGACGTCCCGGTCTTCGCTTGAGCATAGGCATGCTTGACAAAACCAATGATTAGAAAATGAGGGTTCACTGTCAGAGAAATCACTCCGGAAGTTTCTCCTCTCGGTTGCGGGTCGACAGTCATTGAGGTTGACTTCATGCAGTCTGATTTTATTTCCTCAGGTGGTCTGGATCTGGCACCACAATGTTCAGTCAAAATCTTATTATGATTCTGTAGCTTACGACTCTTATAAGTGAGCTTGCAAATTAGCGTATGATCAGTGGCCATTGTTTGTTGAAACGCTTGCTATCATGCCTGAATCAACTTCATGGCACGAGATGAGCAGTCGCTCACGGTCATCGTATTCCATAAAGTGCGAAATGTTTTCGATTGGTTCGATGGCTTAATGTTTCAATGAGGTTATTTTCCCAATAATCGGTTTTGTCTATGATTAGTGCCAGAACAAAAGGCTGCATCGAACTAGATCATAAAAACCTTTAAAAATGTTTGCAGCTACGTCAAGATTCAGGGCAAGAGCGTTCTCATCCGCAATCACGCCGTGAATGAAACTTTTGATCTTTGCCCCTTTGCAGTTGTCTGAATTAGAACATCCGTCTGGCGACGAAAGTCAAAATTTTCATGTTCATAGTAATTTAGTTTCTTCTATGAGCCTTAGAGACAATGACCCAATTGAACGTCATTCACTGGCGCCTAAATTTTTTCCAGCAGTAGTTTGTTTGTGGCTTTCAAGGAATAACGAACCGGAATGTATTTTCTGCCACTAAACTACTAGATTTCAACTTCATGCTACAGGAGCAACAAATCGGGATTTGATAAAACCATGAGCAAATATGGTTTTCCTTGTCAGTCAATTTTCTTCACTGCAGCCCAATTACGGATGTCAGTCGAACCCAGTCACCAACACTGAATGTTTGAAGACACCCCATAGCCAGACCTGAAATCGATAGAGCTTTTTTGTCGAAGCATCGAAAAGGGCCTAAAATCATATTGTAGTCTGCTTGCCATCCGGCGTGTACTGCAGCCCTTGGCACATAGCGTAAACAACGATGATACACGTATTTTTCTGGGTACCGTAGTATAGAGGATCGTCGCGAGAATGTTACCGTTACATTTGGTAATATGAGTCACGACAGAGCGGTTGTAATGGTAATCATTGTAACCTGACTCTTTTTAACTTACTATAAATCGCTTCCACGTGAATAACGGCTTGATTCTGATCTTTGCGTACGGCAAGAGGTACGTATACGCTCCGCTCCTTTCGCGCAGGATAGCTGTTTTGGAGTTCAGTCACATGACTGCCTGGAGCATACGTCGCATTTTATACATTAAGATCTGAAGCCAGCCGGGAGACTGATGACGTGTTAGTCAGTCAATCAATCGGATTTACTCAACTGGACCGTAAGATAGACAATACGTTGCCAAAACCTGGATGTAGCAAATGAACAAATACAAAACACCAAAACAGGTTATGAAAGAGTGAATCTCTGCCAGAGCTGATCAGAACCCTGTGCAAAATAAGTGTTCTTTTTCTTGGGATCAATCGACATCTGACAGCGAACGGAACGTATGATCTTCTGTAAATCTCAGTCAGGCACTTGCCGGGCATTTAACGGATCTTCTGCTTGTCTAATTCGAAAGCACTGTTGAAAACATTTCTGCAACAGGTAAGTTGGTTAATTTGGTTTGAATAGAACTGCCCAGAGCAACTGTTGTCTTAAGTACATCTCCTCCGGTTATGGTGCACTCACACTCGTCATCGCCGTCGTTACAGAGTTGGCTAAGTAGTTTCACAAGACTGGTTGCGATCCAGTTGTTTTCTCCTTAGACCACAGAAGTAGACCGGTAAACGTAAGAGAAATAGTAGCTAGAATGCGGAATTTAATTGAGTCACACCATTTCTGAACCAGCACAACTTCCTCAGTCTGCACATGATGGAAACCCATCACCACACTCTGCGGTCAGCCATTGCATTGATCTGTTGCTCCAAATCAAGGCTCTCATCTACACATAACCCCAGGTGTTTTAACACGAGTACACTGTGCAGTTCGTAAAACAGCAACTTCCGTACAGGCTGTGCTTACACGCCACGCCTTGCACGATGGAAATCACAGTCCAGAGATTTCCGGACTAACTGTCAGGCAATTATCCTTCATTTACTTCCCCACCTCTTCCATAGGGACGAAGAAACGCAGTAATTCAGATCTGAATTTGATGCCTAATGCATAGGGAAACGGTAGTTTGTAGGCCTCACCGTTGCCATAATATTTTCGTAACGGCCTTTAACTTCTGCGTCCAGCTTTCACATGTCCTTGGCTAAACGACTTTGTCTCACTGTTTATGCTTTGATCATTCTGCTCGTTTTCTGACTATTCGGATCCAGTCAACACCCATGTGTTCCATTCCTTACTGGTGATATTCTATTAGGGTACTTACACCGCATTGCCATTTCTGTTTCTTTGTCTTAATGAGTACAGGTCCCATTTGCTCTTGTATCCGCTTTTTTTTCAATCTGTCTCTTTTTGTGTATTATTATTATGGATAAAACATTTTTTTTCAGATTCAAGAATTGATCAAAACTCGAACTGCTCCGTAAATCAGGGCGTCTTTTTCATGAAGCCTAGTCGTGATTTTTTGTCATATGTCACTTATGTTTATTTTTTCTCCTCTCTGTGATATGTTCTGTTGTTTATTTAATAAATATTAAATTTTTGGAGTCGAGGCCTTATTTACAGATAACACTGGCTGGTTTTTGTGAAAATTTTCTTCCTCAGCGAATGAATGAAATTACAGAATTTTAGTCCTGTTAAATTGATAGAGTCGACGAATGTCAGAAACTTTTGCAGCAAGTGCGGCAATAAAATTTTTTTCCATTCTCTGGTGTCTCCAATCGAAGATCGGGCACTGGCGCTAGATCGACAATGTTGACGACTGTCGTGCTTCTTGCTATCACCTTAAAGGATATGCGGCAGCCGAAAGTGACTGATTGATTATCAGATTTGATCAGTGGTTATGCGTGATGGAGCTGGAGGTAACTGTACTTTCTGTCTCTCCTTTGAAGAGGCAAGAGCTAATGACAGAAGCACGCAGAACGTGTATGTTTATGGTCCGGAGTGATGATCCGTCCAAACCGTTATAGAGTGGTACTGGTTTCCTTCTCAGTTGAGAAAAGTAATGCCGGGCTTTTACGGCATTGATGTCTAAGCGTTAGCCTTCATGAAAGCAACGGTGGAAGTTGAAACATGCAGGAGAAAATGCTGAGATCTTGCTCTAAGAATGGGCTTAGTAATCCAGTAAAACAGCTCTATTATTGGCTGGCTTGGTCACAACCACGAATCAGTTTAATTCCAAATCGGTATGGAC